TTTGAAAGTCTTCTACTCGGCGCTTTAATCTACAGCCGCATTCTCTTTCCAAGAACCCCTGAGGACTTCTAGAATGAACTGAAACTACTCCTTTTACTTATATTGCCGATTGAATGGAAATTATGAAATAAACAATTAAGTTAAAATGTTTTTGTTCAGTCAGATAAACAAAATGTCGACCCACCACAGCTAGCCCGATTAAAAACGTTGGGTTTACGTTGCGAACACATTTTTGAATAGATATCCACGTGATCAAATAGTCCACGATACATGAACTATTTGATCACGTGATAATCAGTGTTTGCCAGGGTCATCGCTGGACGACCGGCCATTTTGTGGAGTCCGTGATGGCCCTGGGAACGAGGTTGTAAATAAATAAAATTCACGGGAGTTTGCGAGAGAAGGGAGTAGTAATTACTTTCCATCTTATAAATATTGCGCAGTAAAGGAAGCAAACTCTAACTAAGTGCGGCTGAAAAAGTGTAGCTGAATTGCCGAACGTCTACTACCAAGACTCATTCAGTTATAACGATTAATCATTGAAATGGCGTACTTCTTTTTTTTCTTTCTTTTGTTTTTCTTCCTTATCTTTTCCAAAACAACACAATCTTTCATTTTTACAAATAGATTTTTCTCCCGATGCAAAACTACCATTGAATTACAACACTTTGAACATCTTAGAACTGTAAAAACCTAGCAGTCCAATGATATGATTTTTTTTAAACTGCATATTTAACAGAGAAATGTGTGTCTGGCGATAACCCCAACCATACATTCCACTCTAAACTAGATAATTTTAAAAGGAAAATTCCTATCTCTTGTATTGCATGGGAGTTACGAGAATTTCACAGATCATGCTTCGAGCCAGTGAAGCCGAGGGTAACTATACTTTAATATTTCAGTGATCATTTTGTCCCAACGAAAAGAGAATATGGAAATGAACGCCGGCCATTTTGAGAAACAGTTCCCTGCAATAAACTATTATTTTTAGCCATTTCCAAAGTATATCTAATTGTTTTCCAATATTACGATTTGTTTAATCCAGATTGTCTTAGCCGTCGACCAGCCTGCCTTGCGGACCGAGAAAGGTAATAATAAAACTATCATCGAGAAAATGCATGTATGAAGAACTTGGTAACGATCCATATATCTTGCCAGATACATTGTCAAACAAATCATTTTCCTTTCATGTAACACCGACGACAATATCTCCTGGTTGGATCTGGAACGACATAAAAAGTCAGTTCATGTGGAGTCTGGTATTAATGCTAATACTGTACGCAGCTGTCCGCAACACATAGGAATGACCTTCAACAGAGAAACATGGTCAAAAGAAAAACTTGAAGTATGTTGCTTAGAGACGCCGAGATTAAAGAGAGGTTGATGATAAGATGACTCGTAGACAATTTCTGGCGAAGCAGATGACCAGTTATAATATAATACTCAACAACAAAGAAGAACTACGAACTGACTTTTTTAAAAGAACTACCTATAACTGGTGCAAGTACTTTCGTTTTCATTATTGTRGCACCAACCTTTGATAAAACAACAAACACAAGCTCAAGAAAAATCCTTGCGTCTGGCCGAGGAATGAAGTTTGGGTCGATTTTGCGGTGTTTACATAAGCTCTCTGAGCGCTTAGCATTAGACTTAGGTTTGCGTCGTACTTTAATTCATAGGTTTGCGTAGTAGATAAGCATTGTCGCAGTCAAAATCATAAGACATATTACAAATTGAACTACGATATTATGATAGTGGTGTTACATTATTTAGATATATCATCTTGTTGTACAAACCGTACTTCCCACTTTCCACTTCGATCTTATTACTAACTTCTATATTCGTGTGTTTTTGAATCCGATAATGATCAATTTTGATCGAGTGCAAAAAACGCAAATTCGTACGAGTTAGCTAATAATTTGATCTTTGTTTCCGTTGTATATAAAAGTATCTWCAATATTATAACGAGATAAACCAGTCTTGATTGTGCATGTAAAAATTGGGAAGAAAAATATGCAATTCTCTTTCATCCATTTACTGTCTGATGACGAGTCTAATAAGCTCCCCGATCCATTCCCCGATCCATAAATATTTTTGTACACTTCAATGGTGAACTCAGTGAACTTTTTMATTTTATACACGATGGCTAACACCTCGTGGCTTTGACAAAAATAATATAACAACGGCTCATGTTATCTAAAATGCTATCTTTAGAGAATGATACGCTTTGGTACTCAAGCAGAAACCAGGACAACGGCCAACACGAGTTTCTTAACATATGTAAGGAAGAGAAGTATAAAAGTTGGCCTAAAAGATCGCACAAACGTAGAAAATGGTGTTTTGGMTTTGAAAGATGTTAGTYTAGTGTTGTTTAATGTTTATGTTGGAAATTTGATGAGTGTTTGGTGATGTGATCAACTTAGCGTGCATGCCGACCGGATCTGAACAGGTGTGSGGCAGCTGCACTGACCGGCATTGATCAAAAACCGTTAACTGTGCGAATCTTATTTAGAACATTCTTTTTACTTGTTGAAAACACATTTGGTTTCCAATACAGGCGCCTTTTGACTCATATTATCGTCAATTACATACAAGGACCTCAAGTTTTACTATCACGGAAGTTGGACTGTCAAAGGAATGCCTTTGAATTCTCAATCGAGATGGAAATGGAAGGAAAAGTCCCCAAGAAAATGTTAGCTTTTTATGTCTGCGTTAACGTTTGCGTCGAGGAAAACTTTCAGAAAAACTCCTTCTATAATTCGCTAACAAGTCATACTATTGATACTTCAAAACCGCAAACTGTTGTGATTTAATAAGAAATGACATTTGTTTACCAACGGTTTCTTTCCAGACTTTCATTGTAGTTTTTTTCATGTGAAAGGTGCCAAAGTCATCAAAACAACACACGCCATCACACGCTTTTAATACTTTGCGGTTTTTTATCGCCTGTGGGYGAATCATTCTCATACAGCCAACATCACGGATGCAATATTCATGATTTGTTATTTGATCAACACTTCTCGATTACTATTGGATACACGTGGCACTCCATCACGTAAAGAAACTTTGTGTATCGTTGACAGATGAAAGGTTAAAAATTGAAAACCGCGCGCGATTATTTACGTACTRCAATATGATACAATGTCGAATTTGAAGATTACAAAAAAGTTTGATCTAGCACACGCAAAGAAGCTTACAAAAAGACCTAGTACTTGAATAGCAACCTTTTTTTTTTGAATTAGAACGATAAAGATCAAAAGCATCCCTTTTCTGTATTCAAAGGRTTTAAAAGAGTGCAATTGTTAAGAACAAACACAAAACACACGGAACAATACAGGGAATTTGCGCTAATCACTCGGTGTGGTTAGACATTCACCGATGAGTCTATTTGTTGTTTCGGACTTAAAAAAACGCAAGTGAAGGAATTTGCTTGGTTGCTGTGCCAACGAGGGTTGGTTGCTAGCGAGGTGGATCTGGAGGTGTGCCAAACAGTAGCGAAGTAAACAATAATAGATAAAAGTACAGGCTAACAGGCTTAACAAACAATCTCCATACTTCATTAACTTCGTATTTTTATAACAAAGAACAATTCTTGATTCTATCAACTCGATGGAAATTCAATTAAGTATGAAAGAAAATGCAGACTCGAAAAACTTACTCGAAAAGAGTTTTCATTCATTGCTGGAAAATCCTGGCCAAACTGACAATAGTGTGTTCCATCATACAACAGAATCGTCGAATAAAGCAACTAAATTAGTTGATACATAAAAAGGTTTGAAACTAAAAGGAATAGTTTGTATAAGTATTTATAATTAAATCAACCAAGTTAAGCAAAAAAGAGATGATGTTTACTAAGCAGCGTTATTACAGCGRTGTCCATCTTTCCTAACATGTCAAGCGCTATTCTTTCTAGCACAGTGTTTGCACACTTCGACGTCTGCTACTTGAGAATGGTACATGCCATGAACTATAGTTTCTCATTGGACAGTGAACTCTCTATTTGTGTTCCTATTCGACGACCCACGTGCATTACATAGTACAAGATAGCACTGGCCTATCAGAAACACTAGTAAGCAAAAAGGTGCAGTCAACCGGCTCGARGTTTATAATCGAGCAATTACTCTTGGCTGTTGAAGCGGGACACTCTTTATCTAGCAGATCGATACAAGAGGAACGGAGCTGATAAGAGAGCTATGAAACGCGCATATGTAGACAGCGACCAAGAAGATGCGGGCTCAGAAAGGTACACAAGGCCTCAAGCAACGATCTTATCTTATTGGTATTATTTATGAGTATCAAATCTTGCTATAACTAGTTATACTCTCTTTTAAACTCAAAGGTACATCGACAATGAAGAAGAGGAGAGTAAAGCGAGGAAGAAACGCAGAGGAGTAAGAAATAATGGTATTATTTMATCGACATTAGATAACGATTTGCTTGATGACTTAATCTTTACTTGCAGCTGATCGAAAAGAAAAGAAGGGATCGTATCAACAGATGTTTAACTGAGCTTCGACGGCTTGTTCCCGCAGCAGTTGATAAACAGGTGAATATGATGATATCAACCAATCACCCAGCCWACAATAAMCGTTATTAACATTCCTTAATACAATCCCTAGGGCTCGGCCAAACTGGAAAAGGCAGAAATACTACAATTAACAGTGGAACACTTGAGGAATCTCAGAAACATTGCAAAGCAAGAAACAGGTAACACTACTTGATGYTTTTGTCAACAAATTRAAAWTTGTACATTCAGTACAAAACTTCSAAAGAGATTCCTGCCAAATGGCAGGTGAAAAACAACAAWTATGTCTGCTTTAAATCTATGAGAAATCACGACTAGATCAATTTAATTGACCTAAAAAGTGGGAGATTTGAGTGGTTTAAGAAAGGGATTACAAATGTCACCACTCAATTGAGATTAACGACCAAACAATTGGCAAGTCAATTAACATATTCTGATGGGATGAATTCAAAGACCTTCCAGTAACTTGGACCACCCCCTACTAGGGCAGGTGCATTGTGCTCGTCTAACACCCCTGGGCTTCTCTAGACATGCTTTTTGTTCTAAACGACTAAATATCACTATTTGAATGACTTTGTTATATCCGTTAATGCAAAATCTTATCGTTAACACGCACAATGGTGACCAACTATAATAAAAAATCAAATAATGTCAATAAATATYATAGACTTTAACGCAATCACCAAAAAAGTACACTTTGCTTTCTAGTTTTGAACACTGCTGATTTTCGYTCTGTTGGATTTCGAGAGTGTCTCAACGAGGTTACAACCTATCTTCACAACTTTCAAGATCCTAACTACAAAGACGAACACAAGGGACAACTGCTGACCAATCTTAACGCCATCATATCTCATGGCCCATCTCATGGTTCTCCTCATGTATGCCCACCGGTTCAGGCTATGTGGCCACATCCACGAGGCCTTGGGACTTCAGAAACTCCTCGCTACGATAGAACGCTTCTCCCATTCAATACGATCAAACAACAGAATCTAATCACGGAGAAGTCGGCCACAATGCATATAACTGGAGTCACATTGGCGCCAGAGCAAAACCTTAAACAAATACCGTCACATTGCGCTCTTTTCCCCATCGATACTGCAATGCGAATTGTACAATTTCCGTACGTTCCCCGTTGACTGAGCGGAAACGCGCGCGATTTTACGATGATCTGACGTACGTAACATCTAATAAGAAACATAATGACACCGCAAGACTATACTTCAGCTAAACTCAAATATTCAACCTCAAAGAATGATTATTGACGAATAATATACTACAAATTTGGTACACTAGAATGCGTATCAGTTCCGATTTAGCGCGAAAAGTAACAAGTATAACGTTTTTCACATCGGAACATTACGCGAATGATCACTGCAAACATTAGCTACACATAATAAGCTACCTTTCTGATGACTTTAATCTGACTCAAGCAAACTGGATTTGCATTGGAAGCACTGCACTAAAATAACAAAAATATAGATATCAGATATATATTATGCACGGAGGCACATATTATTTATAAAGTATTATAGCAATAAATTTTKAATGTTATTGTTGGGTACTTCAGCTTTTGTAGTTCTCTTGGAAATTGTTTTTTTTTTAATCGTCCGTTTTTTTTTGTCTCATACACAAGATACTGTTATGYYRCCCCATGTAAGAGAATCCAGAATCCAGTAAAAAAYAGATTTGGAATCYGGAATCCGTATCCAAGAATCCGGATTCCTCTAGTTCTCTGGATTCTTTTACATGGGGCGAGTTATGGGATCTTTAGACWGTCTTTAGCTTAGTCTCTTTAGTCTTGGCACAGGAATCCCAAGAAATGAGTTGCTTGCAAATGAAGCTGATGGCTCTACAGTGAGCATCARTGGAACCAAATGAAGTACAATCCTATTGTTCCTGCTTAAATATCTCATGAATGTAACTTTAATCAGAAATTAAGAAACAAAATTGCAGTGTAGACTCTGGAATTAAGGAATATCATAATTATGATTTCTCCTCTTCCCTAAACTTCAACTTCACAGAGAACTATAAAGCAAAGCTTAAAAAGCAAAACAAAAACAAAACAATTTTGGTCTCCTTTACACTTTGAATATCAAAATGAAAGCTGTTAAATTAATCAAAACTTGGATTACAAAAAACCTAAAATCTCAACAACATCTGTGCCTTTTTTTAAACAAGAGCTGCAAAAACCTTTGTTATTGACATTATAGGCATGTTCTAGTTTTGACAATGACTAACATCTACACCACTAACCTTTACACCACATAATGGCATAGTGACTTCATCATAACACTAAGCAGAAGCCACAAAAACTATATCAAATGTCAAAAAGTCCTTTTCTATTTCCTTTGTRGTAAAGACTATGTAGTTGGTTCTTACATATTAAGAGGAGATAAAACATGTTTTGCTTTCCAATTCAAGTTAAACAACTCCAGTCATACTTTAATATCAAAAGTGTGTCCAAATTTCTTTGTTACCAGTACTTGGTTTGATTCTCAAATGAATCTTAATTGGTAGTCTATTGCTTGCTTGGCGAAAAGCTTCATGAGCTAAAGTTTCACTGTCGCAACTATATTCAAACAACAATTTTCCAGATTTAACATTAGCAACATAATGGTCTACTTTTCCTTTTCCTTTTCCCATTCGGCTGCCAAGAGCTTTCTTAGACACTGGGATCTGTGCCTTGATCATGTTAACTTGCTTAGTTTTGGCTTTTCTTATTATTGCTAATCGTGCTGATTCTAGTGCATTGTCTTTGACGAGCCCTGGTCTCACTGCATAAATACCATACTTTAATTGGTCTCTGTACTTGAAGTAGACAGGTAGATTGCTCTGAGAAACACCCCGTATACAGYGAGTTAAACTCTGTGTAATAAATTGCGGTAATAATAAATTGAGTAATAGCTTAAAAAATATTTCAACTTCAATGGTTATTTTGGTAATGGGTTAATGAGATCATTTCAGGAATTAAATTTTTTTACTTACTGGAAATACTCTTGACAATAAAGTCTGATGTTGACATGCTATACGTGAAGCCATCATAACCTAAAAATTGAAATTCAATGTCTTAATAGATTGGACTGCATAGATGCATGTCATCAAGAATATTTAAGCTTAAATACAGCTAATTATAAGGGCAAGTGTTCATATCAAAAATGAACCAACAATTTCAACAGCATGGTAGTAGCTGGATATATTAAAATYAATTCTCAACCCGTCTTCAAAATGTATGCCATAAAACATCTTTTTCAATTYTCCTGAGCGATTTGTATATATTGTATKTTCGACTGCTATTTTGCCAAAGCTTGCAAAGATCGCAACAGCTAAACGGCACTGCTTGTTGATTTTTACGCWATTTTTAATTCATARAAGCATCTCGCTACAAAAATTACAGTCTTAATTGATYTAAGGAAAAATTAAAATGCCAATTACTTAAATAATGACACGATATAGTTTACAACAATCTGTGAAATTAAAATTCAGTCCAGCTCAAAAATTACCTTTCTGAAGGCTTCGRCCGCCATCTTTCTTCTTACCCGTCATGCATTGAGGGCTGTAATCAAAATACACAGGAACCCCGTAACCCAAAAATGTGGCACGCATTTGATTGCATTATTTGCTCTTCATCTATCTATTCATTTTATTCGATTACTCAAAGAAAACTAGTCATTTCCTGGGAATTGATACCTATTTCAGCTTTGGCTTAAACAGTGTATTTATTTTTGTCCTACATATTTAGTTTAGCTAGTAATTTGTTGTTGAAGAAGATCGTCAATTACACTGTACAGATCTTTATTGCATCAAATTTATTCATTTTAAAACAATTATCATCAGATTTTTATGATCAAATAACTTTTGATATTATTGTTTGTTTCATTCATCCCAAAGTTCAAGTTTACATTGTCTTCTTTGATATTATTGTCAATGTTCAAGATTTCCGGAACACCAACAAATAACCGGCCTTTCTTGGAGCAAAGCCGAATGAATTGCGCTGCGTATCCGTGTTGCATTGCTTGCTTTCTGCATTTCGTGTCGATATGGTTCTGACTGAAAAAGTGTCATCTTTCTTAGCCACCTTGAGCACATACAGCAGCCTGCAAATGATGATAACCTATATAATAGCTCAGTATAGCAACCTGCGCTCTCAGCCTTTATTGGGTTTAGGAGTGAAGGCTAACCCTGGAATATCCACGGACGGCTTTACGTTTTTCTCGTCRAGGTAAACTACTTGAAACTGATGAGACTTGTGCCGACGTAACACCCTACCAGCATTCTTTACGTAGCCGTTCTGCTTAATAGCTAAATACCACCGACTGTACTGTCCTTTGCCACGGTAGATGTACGAACTGAATGAGTCAAATGAATTATGTCCATAAGTCTGTCGCAGGATTGTTTCTGAGCTTGCGTTCACCTTGTGGAAAAGAACAAACGCAAACGCGAATTAAAATAAAATGAAAATGCATGGAAACTACCACAAAAATAGAACATACTGTTGAGTGAACTCTTCCGTCTTGAGCTATAGCGACATATCTTTGATGTTGAACGCTCATCATTCGCACGATACTTGGACCAAACGACTGCAATTCAAACACACCTATCAAGATATCAAAAAAATATATAGTATATTACATTTATTATTCCGTACTTATAAATTGCATTATTTGCATGCGCATGCCCAAGTTGTCCGACAGGAATAATTAGATTAGGTTCAAAGTAACACAAAGAAGACGGTGGTTCAGGCTGTGGTAAAAATGAAAATCTGCAGGTCTGTAAAGTCGGTTGCGCTTGCCACGTTTGACACGTTCACTGTCATCGGCAGTTTTCTTGCACAGTCGGCAACGTGACAAAGAGCAGCAACCAATAAGATCGCATGATGTCCTAAGCATCTGTGCAATAAGGGTACATTTAGATGACAAAAGAGGATGACMAGCACTGGCAGCGTTACAAAGCGGAAGTGAATGGACCCTTGAAAATGGCGGGAAATGAGCCGATGACCGCACGCGCGCGTTTTGTTCCTACAAATGAATGACTCACCATTGTTTTTAACAACCTTAGGCGTCGTACTACCCTTAACTGTTCCTCCAGGCAGCATGACGAGGTGAAATCCCGTTCTACAATAAAGCTGAACACGTTTTTTAATTGTTGGATTGCCAACGACGCTTGTTAACAAGTAAAACGTTGTTGTTGGACGTGCGGAAGTGGTGGTTGTAGCGTTSTTTGTTGGCGGTGTAGGCGTTCGAAACAATGACAGCAGGGCTAGTACACTTGTGTATATCTGAAGGAGCAATAGCAAATTAGCAAAAGTAGTAGCTATGAATTGAAATAAGATAGGCGAACTAGGAGAATATATGTCTAACAAAAAATAATCAGATTAAATTTATGCCATAGGTTTATTACGAGAGACCGATCTAGTCCTATCTGAGCCATTGACTAGTGATCGCACATGGGATCACACACTCATTTCCGCCATAGTTTATATGAATATCTATTAACTATGTTTCCGTGATAAGATATACTTATATTTTGTGACAGAAACAGTAGTCCTTGCAGCTAATACTATGATGTGCGGTGTCTCTAATTTCCTTATAGCTAGCTGTATGGATATGGCAAGAATTACGTTATATTCCGTCGAATTAACGCCTAATCCGAGTTCATTTTATTAGTCAGACGATTTTCAAGCTAAAAAGATAACAAACAGGGTAGGTTAACTATTTTGAAAATGTTAATACAAATCACATCGTCGCATGATCACACGATATGATTTTTGGATCGAAGGCTAGTTACAATGTAATAAATTCAAAAGCTAGCTCTATAATCTTTGCTAGACCCGGCCACCAAGCTACGACCTCGGTGCTGGCTGTTATGCATTGACAAGCTATTAAARATACTCCTAAAGTACACCTCGGAGCTCCTGCTTTATTGCCTGCGTACTTGCAGCCGAACGCAAAACTGTTGTTAAGCTTTGGTTSGGCTGCACGCAGGCTATACTCCAGCTTGATCACGTGCATGTTTTGAATCAAAACGAACAAATTAACAAAAGCCGTTATATTTCAATACTTGTGAATTTTCCCTTAGCCTAGTTACTAAGTCACAAAGTCAGTATAGTGGCGAAAGGTAGGTAGTTCTTGGAACCATAATATGCTCACTATAGTGCAGTTACTGTTGCCAAATATAAATGGCAATAGCTTAATTATTGTTGAGTATTATTTTTGTTTGTTGCCGCACATTACTAGGAATTGCAACATCTCTTTTGCTGTAAAAGTTTATATTCTTCGTTTTCAGGTTACGTCACAGCGGCCATCTTGGAGGAACTTAACAAAGGATTTCTCATTAGTATCTATGGCCGCCGATCTTTTATCTTTTGAATCTATGGGAATGGTTGAAAATGATCAATAAAWAGTTGTACCGTACAAGACGAAAAAGATTATTGCAAAAGCAAAGGTTTCCTTACTATCAACAACTATAAACTTCTGATTTGAATAGGCACGAAGGTGCTTGACTTTCGAGTTATCGWATTTTTGTAATAAATATATTAATCAGAAGAAGCTTACCGGGGAAACTCCAACCATCAAGTTGAGGGAGTTCTTGACGAGTCCATAATACGCTGCAAAACCAGGATTTATCTAGTCTTTTGACCCTAAACAAGAAGATTGCAGCAAAATCAATTGGTACCGCATGACACTACTTCCAAGGGAACCACTTAAGTTTCTGGTCGCTTTTTTCCCGTCGCATTTTTAGCCTGGTATGAGTATTTCAACCATAAACAGTCTAAAAGTACCCTAAATATTCACTGAATATTCTCAAGTAGAAAACTAGAGATTATTTGTACTGTACGTTTTGGCATCTAATTCTCTGACAATTCAACTTGACCCCCTACATCGTGTTTATCTAATAGGTGTTGACAGCAATTTCTCTATTGCCCGCTATGTGTAAATAGATATATTCACCCACATATCACGACATATACAAACATACAGGGAATAGTGTATAAAATTACTAGAATGATAATGGTGATTCATTAGCTCAGAAGAGGTACTAGTGGGCCACAACATCCTGTATTCCTACACAGAAAGGTATGCTTTTAGAATATGTTTTATGCATTTACGACATGTATACACAGACAATTAMCAGTAGGAATGAGAGAGATACAACAAGGAAATGCTTTGAAAAATGTAATTGAGTGACTTGATATCAACCTTAGGGGCCGAAACTAGTCTGGGTATCTAGCTAATTGATGAATTCTGCTTGCAGCAACTAAGCCATCTTTCAATGTCTCGCCATTGATTTGTAAGTAATGAATATCATTATATTATGCCAGAAAAGAATATTGATATGACCTAACGCTACAGTTCTATGTTAAAAGATGTGTGTGAAGTGCTCTCTAATATGGAGGMCGAGTCATACTGCTAAGATCACAAGGAAGCTTCTAAATCAAAATACAAAGGAGTCTGCGTTCTCATCATCGTCTATAATATTCAGCCGTGCCATTAGTCGAATCGCCATTCCATGTTCCAAGTCTTTGTTCCAAATTCCACAACAGCTAGCAGTGCATTGTCTTTTTCTTTCTTTTTCTGTTACTATAGAAATTAAAAAAGCATCTGTAAGAGTGGTACCGATACAGCACTGGTCGTGTGCATACGCGAGCGCACTAGATATATTATAACTCTCAATCTGKTGTCCGCAGCAGCATAAACTAGTTCATTAATAACAAAGATGATGATAACAATAGTAACAATAAAAAAAGTAATTTATTCTAAAGACCCATGTGCTTCCAAGAGCCTTTGCAGTCGTTTCTTTTGCTTTAAATGATCTGTTGTTGAAAGGAGCTTTCTGATTGGTTCAAAGTCAAAGATGGCGACTTTTCATATTTGAGAAGGAAGAACTCGCGCAAAGGTTTTTGGGATGTACGTGAGCCTTTAACATGGCATTTAGTTTATTAGCTACAAGAACTAGCACGACGGTCTTCGACGACTTTGTTGTCTCTTGTCAGCGGTAACAACGTAGTACTATGACGTGCCAACTGAAAATGTACTCACGTGGCGTTTAGGTCAATCGCCGCACTTCACACGTGCTAAATCGTATCTGGTTTTGGTCATTTTGATTTTAAAATTGAATTCGGTACATGTGAGTTTCGAAGCTTTTTTTATTGACGAGCAACCAATGAACACAGATTACCAGATTACAGAGATTAGAAATGGGTCCAATTGCTCAATGAGCTAGATTGCATCACAAACTCAGAGGATTTCTCTAGTTTTCTTCATACAAGAAAATTGAAAATATAAAACCGGCTTTCACTCAATTTACTCTTTTCTTTTCTTTTGTTCTTCTTTTCTTACTTTCTTTTTGTCATTTTGATAGTGACATTTTTCAGTTTTGTGTGTGTTTGTTTAATTTATTYATTGTTGATGCGACTAGATCTGCACCGCCGACCACGATATCGAATCAGTACAYACTGAGAACAGACACAAGCCTGGGGGCGCAATCGGATTTCCGTCAATAAAATACTCAGCCGATCATTGAACAATGGTTAACTGAGATTTCCAAACGGTATATCAACAGCGTCCGGTCCTTAAGGAGAGCATTTTGTAATTGCGGACAAATAATCAAGTTAAGCGTTCCCACATGCTATGACATTGGAACATCTGAAGAATTGAGTGAAAGGCATTCCGCATATATGCCCGCGGGCCTCATGTTTTCAAAACAAATTAATTAGAAGAAATTCTTCGAATTTTCTCATGAATGTAAGACGTCAGTTACACTAACATCACAACAACATTTGAAGAATTTTGGAAGACGAAAAGGAAGTGGTAGATCCATGATTAAAATTGAAAACGCGTTTAACGCATTCATGCATTGAAAATCAACGCACGAATGACCGGACGGAAGGGGAGTGATGGGAGAATGAATGGATCAATGGGATGGGTGAATGAAGGAATCGAAAGAACAGGATGGGAATGGATAAATGAATGGATAGAGGATGAATATGGCTGTATGAATAACTAACTTCACGATCAAACCTTCTCATCAAACAAAATTTGTTTTTTTAGGGGAGGTAGATGAATACGTTGGTAGTTGTGCGTGTTTGGCAAAGTGTTTCAATGTCAGTTATAAAACCACGTGATAGCTACAGCCCAGTCCCTGAATAGACGATCACAGTATGCGACTTTGTTCTGAGTCTCGACCCGAATTGAAGACCAAGAAAGTGCAGAAGAAAGCGAGATGAAGAAACGCAGTATACTTAGGGGCAGGCCGCTCACTGATGAGAGCTATTTCAGAAGCTACTGACTATTGTCTTTTAAATTTTGTTGGCATAAGATTATAGCACACTTACAAGAGTAACTTGTGTTTTCGACAGTCTGGAGAAAAAGACGATTACTAGGAGCGCGTGCAGGTGCTATGCACAAATTGATATCTTGTTTACTGTGCCATTATAAAGGAGCCTTCAGGTTTTATTTGCTGAGTAATGTGTTCACTAATTCGTACCTCTTTGAATTTAAAACAGCCATAAAATTTTCAGGGAATAAATATCAAATGATTTTTTTCTTCGGATTTTTGGTGTCGACTAAAAGTCAGTGAGACAATAAACAAGATTAACAAGAAACAACCAACAAATTAACGACATTCTCTCMAACAWTGACKTGYKATTCAAACCATTGAGTATTGCAGAATTTGTTATTAGAATACACTACATTAAGAACTCAATACTTTCTTGATAGCTCTAGATAGCTCTTCTTTTTGRTTCAAAACATTTGCGTATCATCACATGAAACTCAATCTTAGCTGAGCATGCGCAAATGTTCATAAACTTACGACWCTGCCTCTTCGAGACAATATTTATCAAACTCGATCTCAATTTTGTGCCCTTTGGTGCTACTTCCAAGCACAAGTGATACCAACAACAACAAACTCTCCTTTTGTTTTCAAACATTTAATGTTATAATTTCTRACAATATATGTATATATTATTTATAATAGATTGTTCATTATTTCAGCAGAGCCGAACATCTTCATCGTCAAATGTCATTCTCAAATCATGCCGAATTACTGAATTGTTTCAATTCAGAACAGTCTAGTTTTGGTTTTAAACCATGGTTACAAACGGCACGAGATTTACAGCATTTTCAATAATGTAATGTTGTTTTCTTTTCCAGATGGGTTTTCGTTTAGTAAAGAGCCGACTAAAATCCAGCACGTCTCAGCACGAGCAGCTACGAACAGGAATGGGTGCTCTCATCACGTGACAAGGACTTTGCGTGCATTTCACTGTTCGATGTTGCTTTCCTGTCTCGCAATTACACTGAAAAGAAATAGAAAAAGTATATAAAACGATTAATCAGTATTATGCTTATAAGAAGTGAAAATACGGGAAAAACTTAATAAGTAAAGATACAATTGTATAGTGGTCATTTTGACGTCCCAACATGCATGGCGGCATAAAACAAGCGAATCTAAATCAAGTTTGTCTTGTTCTTATATTTCATCTTTGGTTTGTAACGAAAAAACACACAGCTTTTTTCTCCTTGATGGAGAAAGGAACAAGGYCTTGCACGTTGTTATCGTCATCAAACATGGCGGCGACGACGTGACAAAGTGCGCATGCTTAAACAATAAATGGTTCAATATGAATAAAAATACCAGAAAATGATTCCTATYATTCTAAGTTATGTAGGTTTTGAAACAATTAAGATTGACTCCCTGAAATACTCGACATATATTCTGACACTACAAATAAAATATTTTAGAAAATAAAAAGACACTTCAATTACCCTTATTAAAGCTAATTGAAGTGGAGTTAATTTGATTTAGTATTGAATGGACAGGATTATACAATACATAAAACAAGGATGACGCTTTATAAACCTGAACAAGCCAAACAACTCAACCGGGTTTTAATATTACTGCCGGACAACGAGTTCTTCCGTCAAGACAAAGCTAATAATTAGTAGCAGTGTTGAGATGCATCCTTTTCTTTTAGTTTTTGTTTTCTTTTGTTTTGCTTTTTGTAATCAATTGGTTCAAAYTATACACTTGTATTACATGCTGTTCAAAGAGGTATTAAAACGCACACATACATCGTACAATTGTAATCTAGTTTGTACTTGTCTCGATGAGGTCGACTTCTGACCAAAACATAAATTATATACTACTGTGGAGAGAACGTACTGAATGCTACTTTGTGCGAATTAATTTGTATAGCTACAGAGTGAAGTCACAAAAGCCGTGAAATAGATTGATTGATTACACTAATACACCTTAGTACGCTCTTTTTGTGTCTGTATTTGACTTTTGTTTCACGGGTTTAATGACTCTGTTGTGTAATCAGGGTAATAGTGATTCAAAGGGCAATTTGTGCTATTTTGATTTTATACAATTCAAGGGATTTAGCGCACATACACAAACCTGGCTATCTATAGTCACAGACGACTCAAAAAACAAATCCAAAACGCTTCCATCAAAACAAAAAGTCTGAGCAGATGCGCGCTTGATTGACATCTATGGCAAAAGGGTGTGTCACTTTATAACAAAAGACTAATCAACATACCTGACTCCATTCAGATACTATGTAATAATAGCCCCCTGTAAAACAATCAAATACAAAATGGTTTCAAAGGAGAAATTGCTAAATAAAGACATCAGTTTAGCTATATATTACACTTACGTTGTTCAAGCTCTCCATCTTCTGTCGAGAAACAATATAAAGAGATAAGCGATCTATTATTTCAATATAGTGCATATTATATAGAAGTTAACACCGTCATTACAYCGTCTAGTCCTTTAGGTATAACAGTCTTATTCGTTCAAATTTCTTTCTTTAAATATTTTGAGCTATATGTATAATTGTTTTCAGAGAGTATATGTCCTTTGTTTCTCTTAAAATAAGCTTCTTTGCAGGATAGATTGAAAGAAAGTAATAGCTWACTAACGTATTTACGTGAACACCATAGGTAGAAAACTTATTTCAAAGGTTATTTTAATTTGTTTCATTCAGTATGTGTTTCAGTCTTTGATTTATAGGCAACCCAAAATCAGTTTAAAACATTTGATTGTTCTAGGTACATGTATCCCCTAAGTACACTTCTTTCTTTAGTTTCCGACATTGAAAATATTAGCTCAAGGAAATCAGCTAAGTATTTTTTTATTAAGTTTTTTTTTTCTTTCATTAAGGTATTTCCATATAAAACGATCAAATGACCAAAATTTAAATGTCTAGAATCATTACTCGTCACTTACCACTGAATCTTGAGTAACTCCTTGCTTCTACAAGACATTGAAGAACAAACAAAGTAAATACGAAACAAAAAACCTTCATGACTGCGTTCTATAGTTGCCTCTTTGAGTCTTTTTCGACTTTAGTAGTTGRTATATCCAAATGCGCTTCAAACCGTAAGCCTTTTTATATATAATTGCTGAGAACAATAAACTCATTCGGCATGTGCTGAGATAAGACAAAAACACCTGTTACTCAAAGAAATGATTAAAATCAACCTTACAATTTAATAGAATAGTAAATGATGACGGTATAGTCAGGGGAAGTRTAACTGCCAACGTTAATTACTGCGGCGTTGATATTTTTCGGATAGCGTTTTACGCAGTTTCCACARGTTTCCTCGCCTTCCGTTTCCAAGGGGATTTCCGTCACTCTTTGTCTATCTGTGTCTATGAATTGAGTGCTTCTTAGTGATAATGATTGTTGTATCTTAGAATTGTACTTTTTTTTCTTGAAACTCTTCTTTGTTATATTCAACCCATAAAAGAAAGTGACAGATTACTGTAAATCACAAATAAGAGTGGAGTAACCGTCCTTGAAGACAATTATTCTCGCTACCCAAAACGATAATGGGATACCAACGGCATTTATTTATTGTTGTAGAAGTTTTATGTCATTAAAAATATGGACGACAGATTCACTATGAATTGCGTAAGAACCCTGAATATAACTGACGCTTYGGTCAATCAATTTACGCAAAATTTCWTGATAATAAACTCATCAAAAATGAAGTTAAATTATTTATATTATTTGATTATCAAMGTTTAGTATAGATAGCTTTGAAATAACTCGTTAAAATGCCTCCGTAAAAAMGTACCACTGCCGTCAAGAAGGCGATAAAATGCTGGGAGGGGAGTTTCGCTTATCTCGCTTTTTGCGTTTTAGCRCACGAGCCAGTTCCCTCTGCGTACAAACAACGATAGACATCTTTTATATCAAAATTAATGTGCCACATTGTCAGAAAATCCTTTAGTTAAAGAATTAGTCATTGCTTTAAAAGCTTATATGTGGCTAAGCTTAAAAGAAGAATCGATAACGAAAGGTTTTCTATAAAACAACTCGGCAAGAGCTTCTATGAGACGGGTGGCTTGTAAGCCATTAGACGGTTAAGCGCTATTGATTTGACTATTGAWGGACCCGCCCACGTTAGAAAGCTCTTTCAAATCACTTCAATGTAGACAAAAAGAGAAACAAAATCTCTYCTTAGTCACTTTGATTGTTAATCTTGTTAGTCCAYAGGCAAGGAATTGACAGAAGCCCTAAAARCCAACGGATTAGCTAGTCAGTTTATTACAAARTGCGGCTCTAACTGAGAATACTTTTTGTCAACTTATACTACCCGTTTCAAAACCTCTGAATTGAAAGACCGAGTTTAATAAAAAATTGCCCTAAAATAAACTCATAATTTCAATCAATTTGACTCCGAAAGAAGAGTTCCAAAAAGTAACATAAAACGTGAAAAAATCCACTTTAGAGCAAGAAGAATTCCCTGAGGAAGAACAGTAACAACTCAATCCATTCTACCCAAAGCATATTAATACATAGAATATATTCAATAATTATCACTCCAGAACGCTRAACGAAACAAAGACGCCGCAGGAAAGTTATATCTTAGGAAATAAAAGCAATTACGAAGTGCTAAACGAACGCGGTAGTYTGTCTATTGAATGGCACTTCACGCGTTCCAATTAAAACAAAGTTAACAACGGAATAAACACAACGACACACTAATACAGCAATTTATTAAGATGTCATTTGATCATTAGAMCTGGATGGTTTTCGATAGAGAACGATTGACATAATACTATAATGAGTCATGTATTTAGAAATTCTTGTGAATACAAGTGTTTGTTTTAGAGTGAGCCACGTTTTTTTTTTTCACGAAACAGAAACATCTGCTTTTAAAAAGCAATTATAGGTTTAAATCGACGCTTTTTAGGCTTCGAGAGATTTTTTTTTGACTACATGAAAAAGTTACCACGCGAGCAGAGGATATTCCACCCAAAATTCTTTGCTCGCAGGGTCATATAAAACGTTTATAAGACTGGGACATCATATAAAATGCTTCGTGAACGATTGATTTGATTCACGGCGTTTTTAAAAGAGCATTCCCTTAGGTTAAGTATGTATAAAATGTCTCAAAACTTTGTATCAGCACACAAGCAGGGGTCGTTTTTACGAAAATCCGTTCTCTTATCTACTGCACAAACATATGAAACACTATTCTCAGATTTCTTTTTACTATACAACGATGAGGTACGAAGGATAAAAACGGCATGGCGCATGACGTCTGACACCCCCGAAGCATCGGCGAAGTACCATCTTTAATAAAAAATCTAACTGTTTATTTGATTGTGGTCAACAATAAGCAATGAATAGGTAATGGAAAATTATCTTTTCTAACGGAGAGTGGGAGTGTTTTTGTGGTTTTATTGGAGTGAGCAGTTCATTAAACACTCCAGTATTTCTATACAATGACYACATTCGTCATAAGCACTTTACCAATCTGCCAAAAGGAAAAGAAGAAAAACAAAAATATAATAAGAAAAACGAAAAGGGAGTTTTCTCCCGTCTAAGGCTCTCTCTTCCCATATTTCTCATATTTGATTGCGATCGCTGGAAAAAAAATAGTCTTAAGATGAATACAGTGTTGAAAACAACGCCAGACGAGCAGACGGACACGATATCTGACAGAGTCCACGTTTTACACAATCAAAAAAACCTTTGACTTGTAATAACGTCCGTTCACAGGAAGATTTGACCGGTCAACCTGAAATTTTGACTACCAGAAGACATTGGCCGACAGGCGGCTCTTATTCAGACACAACTCAGTCCGGAAACGTTCGAAGAAAACGAATGTACTCCTGCAATATTTGCAGGTGGACTGGATCTCATTTGCGTGGTGTTCAATCTAAGCTTAGAAAGCACTTAGAAAGGATTTAGGCCTTTCTAATACAGCAATTTCAAAAAGGGTTGTAAAAGTAAAGTCAAAACGCAATAACGAATTMTCGTTAGATTTTCTTGAATTCGTTATCCATTAAAAATGAGTTTGCATGTGGGCTTCTACAAGAGAAAGTGTCTGAATTTTAGTAAGTTTCATCTTTAAGGTTGTGTAACGCATTAACATTAAAAATAGCAGACAAATTCAGTTGACAATTCGTTATCTGCAAGCAAGATCAGTTCAAGAAAAATGCTTTATTTCTGTCATATTTGCCTAYGTACATGTAAGCGCTCCATAACAATAACTAACATGGTCAAACCTAACCGTAGATTAAACTGACCAAAGGGACAAAGTAGTCAAGGATCGCCCATTTCTTCTACGACTTAGACAACCGYTGAGTTCTGTATATAAAGGAGAAATTATTAGTTAGTAGTCATAAAAAAATTGGAACTGGAAAATTGAAAAACATGCGAAGTAAAAAGACGAACATGAATGTAGGTGTGGTATTTTGCCTTTCGGTTGATCTTTGTTACTAGGGACCGTTGTAGGTGGGGAAGATAAATTTATCCACCGGATTAACGYATGCATTGTATCGATTTTATCTTCTCGATAATAAAGGGACATGGTCCACTAGCATGCAATGCGGTCGTGTTTTAGATTTTTCATATATGGAAAATGAGGTAACTTCGAATTCGTCTCCATCCATCGGTTTAAATGTAGAATCTTACAGTATCTCCAATCATATAGTATAAAGGATAATAAAGAGTAAGTTTTTGCTTACATTACGATGTATTTTTATTTTCAAAACATGAGCAAAAGCTCGAAAGGTATGCTGGTAGACCATGTCCCCCTAAAACAGATTTATCGGGTGGACAGCACTATTGATTCATCTCCGTCCAACAATAAATCAAAAAATAGGATGAATGGGTGAAAGAGAATAAAATAAAGGCGTGAAAAAAGGTCAAAAGCAAAAAAAAAAAAACAACAACAACAACAACATGCATTTGGTAAGAATGATAGTGAGGAATTAGAAAGGTTGATATGGCTGGTGTTGACCAAACGAAGCCATAGTTTTAGGAGAATAACAATGTTTTTTGACAGCCACTTTTCACTTTTTTATGCACTTTCATGTCACGCTTGCACTCTATCGCAAACTTGCAATCAAAAGATGATGTAAATAGCATGCGTGGATCAATGGATGAGGAAGTATTCTCGTACCAATAATGAGAAAATAGGAAAAAATGATAAAATAAACAGGTAAAAAACAGGTAAATGTATAAAATAGAAAAAAAATTAAAAAAAAAACGCCAATAGTTACCTATTCAAGGTTTTGCATCCTATAGTTTAACAAAGCTTGAGTTAATGCATTTGATACTTGTAAAGCAATAGAAGCATCCTCTTCTGAGTTCACGAGTTTTCCCTGAAATCAAACCACATCRGACCAAGTCAGAYATCTCATGTCAAACAGCACTTTGTYTTTCTATAAATCTTACCAAATCTGATAAATTTTGGAAAAGATTGTGTTTTGTGTTCTCCGAGGACTGTGGGGTTGAAGGGGGTTTTGGTTCGGTTTTCTTGACTCTTGRATCGGCAGCCATAGTAGGGTTAGGCGGAAAGTTCGTTTCACTATTTGAAGAAGCCTGAAAATCAAAAGCAAATACATTTAGTTTTCTGCAAAGTTCTTGATTGGCTTGATGAAAGGTAGAAGTGCTTTTGCATCAACRCTGTAAGCGAGATGACCGATGAGCTTCCAATGGTTGACAGATAACTTCAGATCAGTTTCCATGTACCAAATATAATCAATGATATAACTAGAGTACAAACACTAAAACTGTGCAACATAAATACCTCTAAATACTGCTAAATTATGCTAATCCTATTGTTTTCTATTGTTTAATAAACACTATTTTGTAGTAAATAGTGGAAAGTGTTGCACACATTTAATGTTTGCACTCTAGTCTATGCATCTGATAACTATTTCTTTTTTTTCAATCTCAGGATTTCTCGGTCTTTTCCAAATAACATAGAACTGAAACTAATAATGGCTGCAAAGGACAATAGGAAGAGTTCAAAAAACCTTTYCCYTWWTGTTACACTGAACCAGGCTATCATCCTCGGAAACCGAGAAGTAATCGTTTGTTGTCGTTTCCGAGGATGSCAGRCCATGAGAGTTTGAAGRTCRATAGRACTYCTTTATTTGGATTGGGACTAATTATACAAGTAGTTGATTCCATACCCAAGAGTTWTCTTGAAARGTTTGGKTCCCCTGTCCAWAACTGGATGGTGCACTACTGGATCCAAAGYTSGTTCTGGAAGGAGATCTGGGACGAAATGCCTCTTTAGGTAGTAATGACCTATAGATCAGAAAACACACAAGTTTGATTAACAGTAACCTGNAATAAGACCATAGTGGAATGGTTTCGAATGTGCGGGAAATAACAAAATAATGCAAAGTTTGATTTTGAGTTTTGACAACCTCATCTGATAAACACCTTAAATTGCTGTTGTCTTCAATATGGTGTTTACAAGCGGTAAACTAGCGTGAGATGCGTCGGTGTTTCTAAAGAAACAGTTGTGTAAAAAGATAAATTTAACACCGTTTTTAACACATATCTTACTTTAATTGTTTATTTTCCGTTACCATGCCTACCTTGCCCCTATTGGTCTATTTTTTTGCTTCTCTTACTATATAAACTCACTCTTAGCTTAGTCTCATCTATTTACTCCGACAAAGGATTAACGTCCGAAACGTCAGTAAGTTGTTTCACCTACTTTTTTTTACGGTGTCAGACTTATCTTTTACACAAATGTTGTTTTCAATACAATCTATTATGCACCGGGAACATACCCTTGACTTGGCTGACTAGGAGATTGGTACCCTTGACTTGGCTGACTTGGAGATTGGTATTGCTGGTAAGAATCTTGCTGGGTATTCTGATGATTGAAGGATCCAGARTACGATTGCTGGGTATTTTGATGGCTAAAGCCTCCAGTAAACGATTGATTATTGGGATTATTGTACCCTCCAGTAAATGACTGCTTATTTTGTTGATTGTAGTCGCCTTGAAATGATTGCTGGTTATTTTGATAATTGTTGCCTTGACTATAATTATTTGAGTAGCCCCTTCCTCTTCCTCTACCCCTGGGTACRTATCCTCCACGACCTCTTCCTTGAAACTGCTGATGACCACGCCCYCGTGCTCTTCCACGTCCATAACTATTATTGCCAAATTGCGAAGAGGATTGCGTGTTGAAGTCGCTTGCTGCTARCAAGTTGATGTTTGGATTTCTTTTCATTCCGCTGACTTTTTCGTGAAGTTTGCCCATTGGATTGATTCTTGTCACGTGATCTTGTCCTCTTCCT